GAATGGAGATTGTTTATAGACAGTTCAACATTGAGTTTAAAGGCAGTGTTATTGCATATTGGAAATATTTTACCATCTCTTCCTGTAGGGTATGCAGTTCACATGAAAGAATCATATGACAATATGAAGTACCTATAGACATGCATAAAATACGATGAGCACCAATGGCATATTTGTGGCGATTTGAAAGTTGTTGCACTTTTACTTGGGCTGCATCTAGGCTACACAAAGTTTTGCTATTTTTGTGTGAATCGGACAGTCGGGCAAAGGCACTTCATTACACCAGACAAAACTGGCCTGTTCGTCAATTCCTAGAGCCAGGTCAAAAAAATGTGCAGCATATGCCATTAGTAGAATCGAAAAAAAATTTATTACCACCACTGCATATCAAGTTGGGCCTAATGAAAAACTTTGTCAAGGAATTAGATAGAGATGGGTCAGCTTTTCAATACCTGCGTCAGAAATGTCCAAGACTAAGTGAGGCAAAGGTTAAAGAAGGTATTTTTGTTGGGCCACAGATTCGAAATATTTTGAAAGATACACAGTTTGAAAACACTTTAACAGGTATTGAAAAAACTGCTTGGAATGATTTCCGTCTGGTGGTCACTAATTTCTTGGGAAATAGAAAAGCTGACAACTATAAAACCCTTGTCAAAAATATGCTGTCATCGTATCAAAAGAGGGGCTGTAATATGTCTCTTAAGATACATTTCCTACACTCACACCTGGACTTTTTTCCTGACAATTGCGGAGCCGTAAGTGATGAGCACGGCGAACGTTTTCATCAGGATATTTCAACAATGGAAAAAGGTACCAGGGAAAGTGGAATCCTTTCATGCTTGCAGACTACTGTTGGGCTCTTAGTAGAGATGCTCCAGAAACGATCCATAAAAGAACAGCAAAAAGACAGCGCATATAGAGATTCTTATAAGTATATGAATCTTGTTACTTTTTTTAATATATCCTTAAAAATAAAAAGTTTTTTTTCTAAACCGCAACTATTTTTTTTATTTCATTGTCATTTTTGGATTCAGCGCCCCAAAATTAACAAAGAAGTGCACTTTTCCCACAAGATACAATTAAAAAACTAAAATTTGTTGTCCAGTGTATTTAACGGTCCCTTGGACCAATGGGAAAATACCTTATCGAAATGCAATTTGACGGAAGCTAAAATTATCGATATCCACCGGAAGGAAACAAAGAAGAAAAGTAATCTGAAGCTAGTCACTCTTTCTGACACAGTCCGGATCTAAAGTTGATCATACTCGTGAAATGTATCGATACACCCAAGTGTCGTATATAAAAATATCGATCCAAAATATCGGGTATGGGAAGTAAAAGTATCGATACTTCTAAATATAGGAGATCGTATCGAACATCCGTACTGTCAAGATGTATAACCCGAGGTACCGACGCAGCTATTTTGCGGCGTCATGGGAATAATTTTAAATTTTCATTCGCATGTTTTCAAGTATTGTGCAGCGATTTTGGGAAAAAGTCTACGTATAGTCTTATAAAGCATAGTAGAGTATATTTCAACAGTTGGCAGGGCTTACTCCACTGGGACCAAGGGTTGACGGATCCCACACACATGTGTCACTCGTTGGGGAGTTTTGAAACGTAATAATCAGCTATTATTCAAATAATGTCTAATATAAATATAACCTAGAATGTGTACTCAGTGAAACAAGAAAGTTATTGCAAATTCTATTTTTTTGCAGGTTTTAAGTTTGCCGGTAGCTTTACGACATATATTTGAGTATTTCTTAATCGCTGTAGATATAGTGTGGATGTTTGTTCAGTTCCTGAACAACCAAGAAATATTTGACTATGGATGTATGGATATCAAAAATCCTGAATGGTTTTGTGGGAATATCAATTGACGGTGCTATAATGGTACTGATGAACGGCAAGTAAATGAAAGAATGTTTGGAAACGAGCAATATCTTTTGGTAGAGCCTGTCATCTCGTAGGTGCTTAATGGCTATCTGCAAGAGGTTTATAGGAAAAGAACACACGGTAAATGATGTTGGATCAGTAGAATCACATATCAATAGAAGAAAATAATATAAACATGAATAAACAATCGATAATATTAAATAAAAGCATCTCATACTTTGGCAGTATTTTGTTTTCAACATTTCATAGCTATTGGTTGCTAAAATTTGTTGATTGGAACTTGAAGCTGATTAGTGGCCAGTGTTAATGACCTTTGTCATCCATACTGGCGACACAAAAATCTCAACTATTTGTAACAGCCTTCACTGATACCAGCAAATTCCAACAATATTTCATTTATTCAAGGAAGCTTCCAATTTTTTAATATCCTCTTGAAGTCATTACATCTAAATTCGAAGTAATCTTTCCAAACTATACTGAACGCACCTCTCTAAATAACTTCATACTATCTAGTGTACTAAGAAACAATGAATCTGCTATTCATATATATATATACAGACGGATCTAAAAGTTCAAATGGCACTGGCTATGCGTACTTTATCTTTAGTCCATTTCATAATATCATTCGCCGGTTTTGTATCCCGGAAATCTGTTCAATCTTTACAGCAGAATCTTTAGCTATAAAATCTGCTCTGGACTGGTTGACGATTGATATACTAAGTGACATATAAATCCGAACACCCAGTTTAAATGGCTTTATTTTAATAAAAGTTGGTGAATGTATTTATCTTACTGTAAATAACAAGTGAAAAAATTTTCAGCCTTATCAGTTGGACATTCCGGTTTTTATACTGCTTTTTTTAATTCACTAACGCTCTAAAAATGAATATTTCAGCCGCAGTAAAGAATCAACGTTGGAGGATTTTGGTTCTTGACATCCTTTACGATCGGTTACGATGCCTAGAGTACGGAGACCTGTACGATTTCGTCAACTTAGTGAGTTTCATAGGTGCCGTATAGTGGGACTTCGGGAAGCTGGACTTTCTTTTCGGGCAACTGTAGTTAGAGTGCAAAGAAGTGTAGACACTGTGGTTAGGTGTTGTCAGGAATGGCTTCGAGAAGGCCGTACGCAAAGAGCAAGGGGCACTGGACGCCGCCGTAGAACAACAGACCGTGAAGATCGCCGCCTAAGATTATTGGCCTTAAGGGACCGTTTCTCCACTACCAGGTCCATTGCAAATGAATGGTTTGCAGAACACGGAAGACCTATTGGCATGCGAAGTGTTTAATGACGAATGAGAAGTTTTGGCTTGTTTTCATACCGGCCACACTGGGTCCTCCCTTTAACTCGAGAACACCGACGTAATCGCCTTGAGTGGTGCAGACAACGGTCACTCTGGGATCAGGAATGGAACAGTATTGTCTTTAGTGACGAGTCTCGATTTTGCTTAGGCATGCACGATGGTCGTGCCAGGGTTGGAAGGCGACGTGGTGAAAGGAGGAATCCACAGTTTTTTGTTGAAAGACATGTGCATCACACTGTTGGAGTTATGGTTTGGGGTGCTATAGTTTATGGTTCCAGGTCACCTTTAATCTTCATCAGAGGTAACATGAACGCGCAGCGTTATATCCACGAAGTTCTAGAACCCCATCTTTTACCCTATCTTGACACCCTGGCAGATCCAACTTTCCAACAAGATAATGCCCGACCACATGTTGCAAGAGTCACAATAGACTTCTTTCAACATAAAGATGTCATATTGTTACCATGGCCACCAAGATCTCCCGACTTATCCCCAATTGAGCACGTGTGGGATATGATGGGTAGGAGATTGGTCAATTTGCAACGTCCTCCTCAGACTCTAGAAGCACTTCGAGAGGAGTTGGTGGTTACCTGGAATGAGATACCACAGGAGGACATTGACCACCTGATCAGAAGCATGCCTAGGCGCGTTGGAGAATGCGTAGCACATCAGGGTGCATCCACACATTATTAAAGGTCAAAGGGCTTTAAAGCAGTGCAATCATTTTGAAATTTTATTAAAATAAAACCATTTAAACTGGGTGTTCGGATTTATATGTCACTTAGTATATTTTCCATTTTTTAGTTCGATTTATCAATTAGTTTTTTGTGGGCATGTGGTATTGGAACGTCTGACGATTCATTTCGTAATATAATCATTTCATTTAAAATTTAAAGCTTCACTGTTGCATGGGGCTTTTCCTGTTAACTTAGAGCAATCAAGTTCTTCAATCCGAATATCGTCTAAAGATCAAACACGACTAAGGGTGTATTTCACCAGGATTGTCAAATCAACAGTCCGTTATTCGAGACGAGCTTTCAACTCCTATTTTCAACGCGCAAGATAATAGTGTATAGCTTCGCAAACGTAAACATGTGTTGTCATAAATGCCACGCGACCTTATGACTTCCGATATTGTACGTACATATATCAACAGGTTTCAGAAACGTAGAAATATCCATATTAGCCCGTATTTATAAAAATGAAGCATTTACTTTGAAGTAAAAGGTACAAGCAAAAGGTAGAAGTAAAAGGTTGCAAGCAAATGCTTCGGGAAAATAAAGTAAAAGGTACGGAGATTAGCGATTTCGACAAGATATGACTTGCAGCGTGCAATCAACGCGTATGTGGTCTGTAACTGATGGGGTTGATCTGATTTGTCTTATAATTAAAAGCATTTCGCACGTCAATTGATGTAAAGGAGATCCATCTAACTTATTTGTGCAGCTATTTTAAAGTGAATAAAATATTTAAAATGTCTGACACCGATAGTGAGCAGGAACTTACCGAAGATGCCCCTAATGTTTATCGCTAAAAGCATTTCCGGAGACAAGACAACCTTCTTTGCCTACTTGAAAGGATGACATTATGGTGGAAAACGACGCTCATCAGATGATTATGCCTCAAGTAGTAGTTAACAAAAAGCGATCCTACACATCGGTTAAAGAGGTTGCTGCAAAACAAAATTCCTCCGAAGCCTACCTTTGCTTCGGGCAAACAAGAGTCAGTCTGTAGCGAAAAATGTTTTTTTTTTACGTGATATACAGTCAATAACTAAAATGATAGTTGTTCCTTCAGTTCCAGACCATATCCGGCCGAGGGTGTGTTCACTCCCGGAAAAGCCGTACAATCCAAGGCTGAGCGACGATTTGTACCGACTCAGAACCTTCAGCATCACGAACAAGGGTGGCGTAGTAAATTGCGGAGATTCAATCATCAACAGGAGGTCGCGGTCGAACACCAGCGTCAATTCGACAGCCAGCAGGTAAGCGATCTTAAATTTTTTATTCAAATAATTGGCAGGACATTACCTGTATAACGTCAAAAAAAACACAAAAAATGAGACATGCTCAATAACCAGCTGCCAGTCAGTTCCCAGTATGCCTTGTTATATACTAAGTGACATATAAATCCGAACACCCAGTTTAAATGGTTTTATTTTAATAAAAGTTGGTGAATGTATTTATCTTATTGTAAATAACAAGTGAAAAAGTTTTCAGCCTTATCAGTTGGACATTCCGGTTTTTATACTGCTTTTTTTTAATTCACTAACGCTCTAAAAATGAATATTTCAGCCGCAGTAAAGAATCAACGTTGGCGGATGTTTGGTTCTTGACATCCTTTACGATCGGTTACGATGCCTAGAGTACGGAGACCTGTACGATTTCGTCAATTTAGTGAGTTGGATAGTAGCCGTATAGTGGGACTTCGGGAAGCTGGACTTTCTTTTCGGGCAATTGCAGTTAGAGTGCAAAGAAGTGTAGACACTGTGGTTAGGTGTTGTCAGGCATGGCTTCGAGAAGGCCGTACGCAAAGAGCAAGGGGCACTGGACGCCGCCGTAGAACAACAGACCGTGAAGATCGCCGCCTAAAATTATTGGCCTTAAGGGACCGTTTCTCCACTACCAGGTCCATTGCAAATGAATGGTTTGCAGAACACGGAAGACCTATTGGCATGCGAAGTGTTTACCGACGAATGAGAAGTTTTGGCTTGTTTTCATACCGGCCACACTGGGTCCTCCCTTTAACTCGAGAACACCGACGTAATCGCCTTGAGTGGTGCAGACAACGGTCACTCTGGGATCAGGAATGGAACAGTATTGTCTTTAGTGACGAGTCTCGATTTTGTTTAGGCATGCACGATGGTCGTGCCAGGGTTAGAAGGCGACGTGGTGAAAGGAGGAATCCACAGTTTTTTGTTGAAAGACATGTTCATCACACTGTTGGAGTTATTGACCACCTGATCAGAAGCATGCCTAGGCGCGTTGGAGAATGCGTAGCACATCAGGGTGCATCCACACATTATTAAAGGTCAAAGGGCTTTAAAGCAGTGCAATCATTTTGAAATTTTTATCATTTACTTATTATGCTTCATTAAGTACTTATACAAAATTTTATTAAAATAAAACCATTTAAACTGGGTGTTCGGATTTATGTGTCAATTCTTGTTTCGAGGTATTATTTTGTGATATTTGGGCAAAGTAGGTAATAAGTTCATTAACATTCCTTAAATGGTCAGGGATATATTTATTTTTATTTCTAAGTATATTTAGTTTTTTTAGTTCAGCCCTTTTTGCCTTTTATGAGCAATTCTGAAACTTTAAATTTAGATATGCCTTTTTTTCGGCTCTAATAGCAGGTCAGGTTTCTTAATTGTTTACAATAGTCTCGATGACCAGGTTGGTGCGTTCGTCTAAAACGAGAAAGAGCTTGATTTCGAAGCCTTTTCATAAACTTAATGTTATCTGTGATCCATGGACTGTATGGTCTTTTTCGAACATTGCAGAGTTTTACGGGTGCATAGGAATCAAAAATATTCAATATAGTGTCTGTTAAAAATTATACCTTATGATGACATAATACATAATACCTGGAATATTCCATTAAATTTAGTCTGATGAAAAGTACGAGTACTCTCTCCTGCCCTATACCCAGCTTTTCTTGCTCAACCTCATCATTGTATGCTTTCATCAAGCACGGGACCCTCCCGCTGTGTCGCAATTTCACAAATGGTTATTCCTTGTTCTCAAAGTCTATTGTTTCATATACTCGTGCTGGACTGATACCCTTCGGTAGAGATGTGTCAATCCAGTGTTGATGAATTTATGGATGAGCCTTGGCGAAAAGGACTGGTTTGAATCAATGTGCCTTGAATAATATACATTGAATTTTTCTACATATCGATACATGATATTTTGACTTGACCTTGGAGGTTTCGATCAAGGTCATAGTCAAGGTAATGGTCAAGGTCAATGTAATGGTCGAGGTTATGGTCAAGATCACGGTCAAGCCCATGGAAAAGTTCATATTCAAGGTCATGGTAATAGTCGAGGTCATAGTAATTATCAGTCAAGGTCATGATCATGGTCAAGGTCATTACCATTATCATGGTAAAGGCTATGGTCAATGTTATAGTCAATGTCATAGTCAATATCATGGTTAAGTTTACGGTCATGGTCATAGTCAAGGTCATGAACCAGGTCATGGTCAAGGTCAATGTTAATGTCAAGGTCATGGTCAAGGTTATAACCAAGGTAGCGATTAAGGTAGTTGTCAAGGTTAAGGTTAAGGTTATACTAATGGTCAAGGTCACGACCAATGTCATTGTCAAGGTCATAACAAAGTCATTGTTAAGGTCTTGGTCAAGTTAATGGCCAAGGTCACAGTCAAGGTTATGCTTAAGGTCATCCTGAAAATCAGGGCCACCTTTAGGTGATCTCCACAAATCTCCCACATCTGCTGTCGGACATTTTTGCTGGAGCAAACTTTTTTGATGTCTTCATTCAACCTTGAAACTTTCTTAAAATTAATGGTCAAGGTCGTGTCCGACGTGATTTTTGGAAGTATAATAACCAAAGAGATCGAATCTCTGAAAACATCAGTATTGCCCACCTTTAATAGCGACGCAGGCTTATGTTTTCATTTTCAATCTGCGGAGAAGGCAGGAAAGACGTTCCCGGGCAGCCATTGTTTGGTTTGCGGGAGGGATCTGATCATATTACAATGACTGAATAGAAATGTTATATTGGAGATTTTGTGAATTCTGCCTACGCGACGACAGATGAGATTATCGACAACGAACCCCAATAACCTTTCGAAAGATAAAGCCAAGCTTACATCTAGTAAAGAGTTTGTTGAACACGGTGACGCAGGATTTGTGGCTGATCTCTCGGATGTATGCAGGGTGTTCCGCGAGGAAATGAATAGATGATGCCTCTGGCGGCCAAAAAGCTACATGCCAAATGGGATTGAGCACCCTGTGGAAACATTGGATTACTGAATAATGTGTCTATGTATGAGGATTTTAAGCCTCAGCTTTTCTCAATAGTTCTTTTTTTGATTCATGTCAATATCTCAAATATTGAAGAATATATGCTGTTTTCATCATCCAATCTTCGCGTCAAAGCTGTAGCAGGAACTTTCTTTTTTCGAAGAGCTTGGAGTCTCAGAAACCGATATTCAACTGCGTTTGTTGCTTTCCGTCTTCCCTGCCCAGGTCTTTTTGAGTAAGAACCAGTTTCTCTAAATCTTTGTATCACATCGAATACCGTACTGCGTGAAACGGCAAGTCTTTCTACAATATACCGAACATGACGACCATCATCTTGCAAAGCGACAACTTATATATATATATACAGGGTGTTTCAGTTTATTGTTGCATAACTTTAAGATTCGATAGAACTTTTAAAATTAATGCACAAAGTCTATATAAACATGGGTCGAAAAATGCGTGGCTTCCGAAATTAAATTTACTTTCTAAAATAGTTTTTTTAAATATTTCGAACAATATTTGATGTATAACAGTGAAAATTGGTATACAAGGGTTTTTTGGTACGACAAAACGAACCATGGGCATAGTTTTACTGTAGCCGCTAGAGGGCGCTCTCTACTGTACCTGTAGTGTATTAAAATGGCCGAAATTTTTTTCTTAGTGCAATTTTTTGCTTTTTGAATAAAAAAACTGATTCTTCGCACTTTTCAACATAAAAAATCTCTCTTGTGAATTTTCGTTATCGTTAGCCGTTTTTGAGATATTTTGATTTTTAAGGTTCGATGCATTTTTAACTATTTATGATAAAATAACGTTAAAAAGTCAGTATCTCGATAATTTTTAAAAGTAGGCTGTGCCTGCAAATATTTTTGAAATTGAAAGTATGCAGTTCGGGAAAGAAATTTTCAGCATGAATTTAGTGTGAACGTGTGGATTGGTATCTACGGTAATCGACTATTTGGAGCCAGCTTTTGCCTGCAAGGTTAAATGCTGTGACCTTCTTGGAATTTTTAAAGACTGAACATGCAAATATGTGGGATGATGTTATGTTAGACTTAAGAAGATTGGCCTGGTTCCAGCTTGATGGTTGTCCAGCTCATTATTCGAGAATAGAAACTGGCTGGACGAAAATTATCCAGAAAGATGGATCGACCGTGGAGGACCAGTCGCCTGGCCCACGATCCCCTGACCTAAATTCATTAGATTTCTTTGTGTGGGGATTTCTAAAAGAAAAAGTGTACCAGACTCCCGTAACCACAAGAGATATGCTAATAGACAGAATCAGGAATGCATGTGATGAAATAAGGCCTTATTTGAATAATGCTATACCACGTTCGATCATTCGTAGATGTGAATTGTGTATTGAACAATTGGGTTTACATTTCGAGCAACTACTTTAGATTTTGTATGTTTGTCCTAACTATCCAATAGCATTTTAGTTGTAAATAATTAATTTAATTTGTTAAAAATAATATTGGAAAATTAAACAATTTAATATTCTGTTTTTTGTGTTTATTTGGAGTTAGGAATTATTGCTGTGTTTAAAAACACAATCTAAACGATTATCTTAATTACTTGTACTGCCCAAATCGAAAATGTAAAAAAAATATTATTTTCCCATAAATAACTAAAAATGCATCCAACCTTAAAAATCGAAATATCTCAAAAACGGCTAACTATAACGAAAACTCACAGGAGAGCTTTTTTATGTTGAAAAGTGCGAAGAATCAGTTTTTTTATTCAAAAAGCAAAAAATTGCACTAAGAAAAAATTTTCGGTCATTTTAATACACTACAGGTACAGTAGAGCGCGCCCTCTAGCGGCTACAGTAAAACTATGCCCTTGGTTCGTTTTGTCGTACCAAAAAACCCTTGTATAGCAATTTTCACTGTTATACATCCAATATTATTCGAAATATTTAAAAAAAACTATTTTATAAAGTAAATTTAAACACCCTGTATTTCGGAAGCCACGCATTTTCGACCCATGTTTATATAGACTT